TTGTGTTACTTTGTTTATCCTCCATTGTGCTTCTCCTTAATTATAGTTATTTTTCTCCTGCAATGTATTGAATTGGATATCAATCACCAAAGGTGTGTCCATTTTTTTATTTAAATACCAGGCAGTTTGTGATCATAATTTTCAAGTAAATTTGTCTGTGAAAGGGTCATGGACTGATGTTTCTGGTTTTGTTTTTTTTTTTTATATTTTCATAAATTCCCTTGGGATGTTGTTTGTTATTCCAGCCTAATTGGGATGTCAGTAGTTAGTAAGGGAGATGTTTGAACTCATGGTCCTTATGTTTCAGCCTCCTGAGTACAATCCAGAGGCAAATGATGGAATTCATAGGTGTGTGAATTAATATCCTTGTCTTTGATTCACTGGTCAACCTCTCTGTTGAGGGGGATCATCTGCCAGGCTGGAAGTTGGTTGGGATGGTCTCTATGATCCACACCCACTGTGAGCCTTGTGGTGTGAAGGTACCTGGGAAGAGGATCTTGTCAGAAGCCAGCAGTTGAGGAGATATTGTAGAAAGCTACAACAAGCCATCAGTGCAATGTCCAGCATTCTTAGCAGATGCAAGGCTGATATTGTAGCAATCTGCCTTACATTGTTTTGATTCATTTTTTTTTCTCATTTGTTTTTAAAGATAGGGTTTTTCTGTATAGTAGCCATGGCTGTCCTGGAACTCACTTTTTATATCAGGATCTATGCAAACTCACAGAGATCAGCCTCCATCTGCCTCCAAGTGTGACTATAAAAGGCATGTGCCATCACATCTAGCTTGATTTGTTGATATCCATTTATTTGAGTCTGGATTTCTCTATTCATGTTTGGTTGCTATTTATTTATTTGTTTCAGTCCAGGTTTCTCTCTAGCTTTGGATGTTCTGTAACTTAACTTTCTTTATAGGCCAGCTATCCTTGAATTCAGAGTTCTGCCAGCCCCTGACTCTTGAGTATTCTACCACTGCCCAGCTATTTTGTTGGTTTTGAGTCAATATATTTTCTAAATGCCACAGACTACCCTTCAGTCTTCCATATTCCTACCATGAATCAGAAGACCTGGGCTTACTGCCTTGTGCCACCATACCTAGCTGGATCATGTTTATCTGATCCACTCATCCATCCATAGATAAATGACTTGCCCCCACACCTCTTGGCTACTATTACTAATGCTGAACATCATGCACACAGGATCTCTGTTCAAAATATATCCTGAAGTGCAGTCATTTCATCATAGAAATACACTGAGCCTACCCTCAGGCCTCAGGAGGGCCCCAGATTCTGACCTCGGCTATGGTTGTCGATGTGCCCAGAGTCTGTGCAGAACACTCATTTGGGGATTCCTTCCACCTGCCCAAGTGTCTAGAAGTCAACATCAAGTGTAAAACTTGCCTGTTCCTCAGGAAGATCCAGGACTTGCCTGTTGTGATTCAAGATCTTTCACTGTCACCATTGCAGTTTGCCTTCAAAGGTACTTAAATGTAGCTGCAATTTGAACAAGGTTCTATGTGACCCCCAGCTCCATCTTTTTAATTCAGTATTCCTCCTTGCCAATTCTTCTGGTTGTCTTATCTGTCCCAAGTACAGGGGAATGGCAATATCAGGCTACTCTCACTGGAACAAAAGAAGTGATGGATCAGCAAGGGGCAGAGTAACAGAGAATTGGTGACCACTGCAGCCTAAGATTATAGCTCTTCACTCAGACAGTAGCTATCTGGAGCCTCCAGCCTAACCTGATGAGTCATATGGGACCGACCTGTAGCACCAGATTCAGGATATTGGCCTGGATATCCAGATCCTGCCATCTTCTTACAGTCTGAGCTTTTAAGTATGAACTCAGTCTTTTTTGTTTGTTTGTTTAAGATGAGGCAGTCAGTTCTTCAGCTACTATTCTGTTCTTCCAGATTCTACTTGGACAGTGCTCTCAACTACCTCCACCAAGCCACAGTCATGTGAGGAACTTTCATGCTGCTGCTGGGACTTGAGCAACAGCTGTCATTTAGTGTCATCCCATATCATGAGGTTCCTTCAGATGTTTGCTCCTTTTACATACTTAGATATTCAGCCAGTGGAAGAGTAGAACACAGCCTTGTGGAATCAAAAGGCAGCTAAGTCACAAAGAATCTGCAGCCCATTCAGACATCAGTTAAGAACCTCATCATTTCTTGGGTAATGGTGAGTGTATGAGGCCTGACCACATTGAGACCTTTATTCTCTAGGCATCTAAGGACACCTGTTGTTCCAGGCAGAAAGTTCAGGTCTGAGTTCTGCTCATTTAGGGATGGAAGTGTCTGAATTAACAGCTACTCATATCTCTTTTTTCAAATTTGTTGAAACAATGAGCTTCATTTTGGGGTTACTTAGAGGAATATGGGAAAATAATTGCTTACTGTAGTGCAAGGGACTCTAAGTCTGTTGTAATCATAAAGATACAATCATCATAGGATGCAGATAAGCATACAGGTCACCTGGAACATACTGCAGAATTGTAGGCATAACACAAATTAAAGTTCATTCTATCTTGGTGGATCATTTTATCAAATCCACTTCAAACAGTATGATCTGACATTTTCCATTTGAGTTAAGCATTCGGAATCCTGTCAGTTTCAAGAATTCTTTGAAGCGTTATTGAGGTGTACATTTCCTGAGTTAGTCAGCTCCTGTCAAAGATGGATCACTTCAGTCTCCAGGAACCTGCTACAAAGCATCACATTCTTCAGGGGTCTGTGTTTTATCTTCATTAAGAAGCATTTAAGGTTGCATAAGTGTAAAAAGTTTTAAAGACAGTTTTTATACATTGTCATATGTTCAGAACTTCTCTCAGGATAATTTTTTGTTATTTTATTACTTAAAAAATATCAATCCAAATTCCCACTTCCTCCCCTCCTCCCACTCCCCACTACCTCCCCTTCTACTCCCATCCTACTCCCTTCACAGACCCTCCCACCCCACCCCCTCCAATCCCAATAGAGGGCCATGCACCCCACCCTGTGGAAAGTCCAAGGCCCTCCCTACTACATCTAGGTTGAGCCAGGTTTATATTCGAAGAGAATAGGATCCCAAGAAGGCAGTACATGCTGTAGAGACAAATCCCAGTGTCACTATCATTGGCCCCTCAGCCTGCCCTCAACCCCCTTCAGAGTTGACTCCTGGTCCAATTGGAGTTGGTGAGCTACCATTAGCTCAAGCAAACTGTCTCAGTGGATGAACCCCTCATGGTCTTGGATTCTTTGCTCAAACTCTCACTTTTTCTACTCTTCAACTGGATATGGGAGCTCAGTCCAGTGCTCTGATGTGGGTCATTGCCTCTGTTCCCATCTGTTGGATGAAGGTTCTATGGTGATATTTAAGATAATCATCAGTCTGACTACAGGGTAAGGTCAGTTCAGACACCCTCTCTATTGCTTAGGGTCTTAGCTGGTGTCATCCCTGTGAATTCTTGGGTATTATCTAGAGCCAGGTTTCTTGCTAACTCTGTAATAGCTCCCTCAATCAAGATATCTCTTTCCTTGCTGTCATATCTGTCCTTCCTCAACCTCGACTATCCCATTCCCTCAAGTTCTCCTCAATCCCCTTCTCCCTTTCCTTCTCCCACCATGCTCCCAAATTTTTGTCTGTTTCCAATTTCCAGGAGGGTCTATATATGTTTTTCTTTGGGTTCACCTTATTACTTAGTTTCTCTAGGATCATTAACTATAGGCTTGATGCCCCCCCTTTTTATGTCTAGTATCCACTTATGAGTGAGTACATACCATATTCATTTTTTTAAATATATATTTATTATGTATACAATATTCTGTCTGTGTGTATGTCTGCAGGCCAGAAGAGGGCACCAGACCTCATTACAGATGGTTGTGAGCCACCATGTGGTTGCCGGGAATTGAACTCAGGACCTTCAGAAGAGCAGGCGATGCTCTTAACCGCTGAGCCATCTCTCCAGCCCCCCCCATATTCATTTTTTTGTGTGTTTGGGTTACCTCACTCATGATAGCGTTTTCTAATTCCATCTATTTGCATGCAAAATTCAAGATGTTATTATTTTCTTACCGTTGAGTAGTACTCTAATGTGTAGATGTGCCACACTTTCTTTATCCATTTTTCAGTTTAGGGGCATCTAGGTTGTTGCCAAGTCCTGGCTATTACAAATAATGCTGTTATGAACATAGTTGAACAAATGCTTGTATAGTATGATTGAGCATCTTTTGGGCATATTCCTAAGAGTGGTATTGCTGGATCCTGAGGTAGATTGATTCCCAGTTTTCTGAGAAACCACCATACTGATTTCCAAAGTGGTTGCACAAGTTTGTATTCCCACCATCAATGGATGAGTGTTCCCCTTACTCCACGTCCTCTCCAGCATAGGTTATCATTGTTCCTTATTTTAGCCATTCTGACAGGTGTAAGATGGTATCTCAGTTGTTTTGATTTGCATTTCCCTGATAGCCAAGGAAGTTGAACATGTCCTTAAGTATCTTTTGGCCATTTGAAATTCTTTTGTTGAGAATTCTGTTTAGTTCAGTACACCACTTTTTAATTGGTTTATTTAGAATTTTAATGTTTAATTTCTTGAGTTCTTTATATATTTTGGAGATCAGTCCTTTGTCTGATGTGGGGTTGGTGAAGATTTTTTTCCCATTCAGTAGGCTGCCTTTTTGTCTTATTGACTGTGTCCTTTGCTCTACAGAAGCTTCTCAGTTTCAGGAGGTCCCATTTATTCATTGTTGCTCTTATTGTCTGTGCTACTGGAATTATTTAAAAAGTGATCTCCTGTGCCCATGCATTGAATGTTACTTCCCACTTTCTCCTCTGTCAGATTCAGTGTGGTCAAAGTTATACTGAGGTCTTTAATCCATTTGGACTTGAGTTTTGTCCATGGCGATATTTGTGAATCTATTTTCATTCTTCTACAGGTTGGCATCCAGTTATGCTAGCATGATTTGTTGAAGATGCTTTCTTTATTGCATTGTATAATTTTAGCTTGTCAAAAATCAGGTGTTCATAGGTGTGTGGATTAATATCCTGGATTGAGGACTAGCAGGCAAGCTCCCTGCTGGTGGCTAGAAATGTCGAGGAACCTGGGAAGGCCCCCCTGGCTTTTCTCCCCTCCCCCCCTGGAGTTCTTAGGGAGTGGGGTGTCTGGGTCACAGAGTTGCTGCTTACTTACCTCTTATGTCCCCCAAGTATTGGCGCAGAATGTATGACAGAGTTCTACGGAGCTCACAGAGAATCCAGTATAAATTCTTGATGTAGTCACAGATTTGATCCATGTGGACCTGAATTTTGTGCATGGTGATATATATGGATCTATTTGCATTCTTCTACATGTTGGCATCCAGTTATTCCAGTACCATTTGTTGCATATGCTTTTTTCCATTTTATAATTATAGCTTCTTTGTCAAAAATCGGGTGTTCGTAGGTGTCTGGATTGATATTCGGTTATTTTATTTAATTCCATAGGTCCTCCTGTATGGTTTTATGCCAACACCAGGCAGTTTTCTTTTTCTTTTTTTCTTTTTTTTTTTTTTTTGGTTTTTCAAGACAGGGTTTCTCTGTGGCTTTGGAGCATGTCCTGGAACTAGCTCTGTAGACCAGGCTGGTCTCGAACTCACAGAGATCCGCCTGCCTCTGCCTCCCGAGTGCTGGGATTAAAGGCGTGTGCCACCACCGCCCGGCCTACCAGGCAGTTTTCATTACTGTAGCTCTATAGTAGAGTTTGTGGGTAGGGATGGTGATGCCTCCACTAGTTTCTTTATTGTACAAGATTATTTTGACTATCCTGGGTTTTTTGTTTTACCATTTTAAGTTAGTATTGTTCTTTCAAGCTCTGTGAAGAATTTTGCTGGGATTTTGATGGGCATTGCATTGAATCTATAGACTTCCATTTTTGCTATGTAAATTCAACCTACCTAAGGAGTATGGGAGATCTTTCCATTTTCCGTTTTTTTCTTCATTTTTTTGTTCAAAGTTTTAAAGTTCTTGTCATACACCTTTTTTTTACTTGTTTGGTTGTAGTTACCCCAAGATATTTTATATTATTTGTGGCTATTGTGAAGGGTGATGTTTCTCTGATTTTTTTCTCAACCTGTTTATCATCTCTTTAAAGGAGGTCTACTGATTTTTCGACTTAATCTTGTATCCTGCTAAATTACTGAATGTGTTCATGAATTGTAGGAGCTCCCTTGGTAGAGTTCTTGGCGTCTCTTATGTATACCATCATATCATCAGCAAATAGTGAGAATTTGACTTATTTTCCAATTTATATCCCCTTGATCTCCTTTTGTTGCCTTATTACTGTAACTAGGTGTACTATATCTATTCAAGTACTATACTGAATAGATATGGAGATAGTGGACAACCTTGTCTTGTTCCTGACTTTAGTGGGATCGATTTGGGTTTCTCTCCATTTAGTTTGATGTTGGCTGTTGGCTTGCTCTGTATTGCCTTTTGGTGTGTGTGTTTAGATAAGTTTCTTCTATCCCTGCTTTCTCCAAGACTTTTGTCATGAATGGCTGTTGAATTTTTATCAAATGATGAGCACCTATTTTTTTTTCTGGTCCTTTACCTGACTTTCAGGTCCACTATGATTCCAAGGTTTGTCTCTTTGTTCTGCAGCTTGGGGTGTAGCCTCCTGTCACTCTAGTTCTCCCTTTCCCTCCCCCACAGGGATGATCATGGCAGATCTATTTATAATTGCTAAAACAAGGAGATATCTAGTGTCCTCCATGAGTAAACAGCAACTGTATTTCAAGCAGGCAAAAAAAGTATTTTCACTGAATCCTCCCCAGGTACTTATATTGGTTAGAATATAGATGATAAGACCTATATCAGTTTGTTATTTTTATAATATCCAAAGCTGGCTAACTTACAAGAAATATAAATATGCCTACCTACTGTTCTGAAGGCTGGGGCATTTATTTATTTTGTTTGTTTTTTTTGGTTTTGGTTTTTTAAGACAGTTTCTCTGTAGCTATGAAGCCTTTCCTATAGACAAGGTTGGGCTTGAACTCACAGAGATCCACTTCTTCTGTCTTCCAATTTCTGGGATTAAAGTCATGTGCCACCACTGCCTGACAAGGTTGGAACATTTTATATCAAACTACCAATATCTTGCTAGTGATTTTCCATCGGGGCTCCCATGGTAAGAGTCAGGTAGCTTGAAAGGTCAGTGATGTCCCTTTCCCCATTTGTGACAGTCCTGTGACATGAAATTTAGGACTTCAAATTGCTACTGAAATGTACTATATTCTTAGCCCTTGATTTTGAAGAAAATTTTACTGCGGGTAAAATGCTATCAAGCAGCACAGCATACTGGGGTGTGTGGGCGTGTGTGTGTGTGTGTGTGTGTGTGTGTGTGTGTGTGTGTGTTTGTAGTGAAAATAGGAAACTAATCTTTTGAGCTCTTTGAGGAAGTTGCCACATGTACCCAGTCTTTAGCCTGTATGCAGCCCCTGCATAAGACAGCATGTGTGGAAACCAAAATCAATTATGCCTCCAGCAAAAAGGAAACACTATGCTGAATGTAGTGATTGTCCATTTGGGGCAAGTTTTTCTTGTATTGTATATTGTATACTGACCTCAATCTTAGTCTTCTGTTGCCTCGGCATCCTGACTTCGAAATGAACATATGTGTAACACCCAGATGTACCCAGCTTATTTTTCTTGAGGCACTGTCTTGCTCTTTATCCCAGATTGTCTGGGAACTCACTATGTAGTCTAGATTGTCTCAGGCTCCCAAGTGTTGCAGTTACAGGCATGACTTCCCACACCTGTCATCATCAATAGTTCTTAGCTGAAGCATATTTTTCTTTAAACTAATCTAATATTTATTCTTTACATGTGAATGTGCGCTTGTGCTAAGGCAATATGCGTGTGGAAGTCAAAGGAAAACTCGCAGGATTTGTTTCTGCTCTTCCGCCATGTGGTTTCTATGGATGGAGCTAGGAACTTCAGGCTCGGGGCCCAGTGGTTTTCCCCATTTTTCTGGATCTGCAGCACATTTCTAAGTTAGGGATCATACAGTATTTGGAAACAATGCTATCATGTTGTACGGAAAGCATAGAAACAATTTTGTATGCATTGGGAAACAACAAGAACAATAACAACAAAACTCACATGTCTTGCTTCAAGGTATTTACTTCTGTGGTTGTACTGGCAAGTTTTATGTCAATTGAACATAATCTAGGAAAATTTGAGAGAAAGAAGTCTCAACAGAGAAAATGTTTCCATGATATTGGGCTGCAGTCAAAATAAATGGCATTTTCTTAAACAGTGATTAGTGGGCTAGTGACCAGCCCATTGTTGATGAGGCCAATCCCAAAATGGCTTTCCTGGGTTCTATAAGAAAGCTGGCTGAGCAAGCCATAGAGTGCAAGTCAGTAAGCAGGACCCCTCTAAGGCCCCTGCTTCAGTGCCTACTTTTAGGTTCCTACCTTGCTTGTGTTTCTGTCCTCACTTATTTTGATGATGAAACTGAGTGAAATGAACTTGTTTTTCCACACATTACTTTTTTGGTCATGGTGCTTCATTATAACATTAGTAACTCTAAAACAGTGATGGTCTGAATCTGTAACCTCCAAGACCTGCCTTGCATTTAACAAACATTATCATTGATTATTGCTGCATGATTTGCTACTTATGAAAATACTTTTTTTCTTTCATGACAGGGTTTCTCTTTGTAGCCCTTATAGTCATCCAACTCACTCTACTGATCTTGAACTCCAGAGATCACCTGCCTCTAACTTGCATTTTTGACCAGCAGCATAAATACAAGTTAAAGTCTTACAGCACATGTCTTTAATCCTAGCACTTGTAAGGCGGAGTCAGGCGAATCTCTGTGAGTTTGAGACCAGTCTGGTCTATAAGAGCTAGTTCCAGGACAGGCTTCAAAGCTACAGAAAAACCTTGTCTCGAAAAATGAAAATTAAAAAAAAAAAGCAAGTTAGAACAAAAAATTGAACGCAAAATGTAATTTTGTTGCTAGGTAGAACCTGGAAATGTTGTCTTTTTAGAAGAATGTGTATGAAATGACTTTATGTGGCAAAAAAACATAGAAAGTTGTATACAGAATTTAATTTGCTATCCTTGTAGGACCAGGAAGATGGGAATGTTAAAAGAAATGGCAGAAAGTAGAGATTGAGATCATAGCATTTCAGATGGAAAAAGACAGACCATAAAAGTTAAAGCTAGAAGTCATTTGTGTGATATTTTGGCCTTTCTTATTCTGGAGATTTAGTAAATCAGAATTAAGAAATAGTGGGCTAGTTCCTTAACTGGAATATTTAATCTTTTGAATGGTTATTACTGATGTCCTTGGTCCGCTCTCTTGGTTTGCTCTGTGATTTGCAGGGGTGATGGATGGAGAAGTGGATGGTGATGGTTGTATTGGCAGTTTTGGGGGCAGACTGGAACTTGTAGCTTACAGGGTCTGATCGATGGGGTGGGGTTGTTGCAGCAGCCTACCTGGAAGAAACTTGCCTGCTATCTGGCTAGACAAGCTGTGGCAGATGGGGGAGGGGCCCAGGGTTTTGCCCTGTCACAGAGAGCCTAGAGAGTGGGTCGTCCAGCTGCAAGGGGATTCCTCTGTACAGTTCTCTGTACACTCACCTCGTGGTCTCCTCTGTACAGTTCTAGTCTGTTCTTCAGAGTTCCTCTGAGGTAGCACAGTATAGGTGGGTTTGATCCTGGAGTGGGACTTGTAGCTTACAGGGTCCAGTTGATGGGGTGGGGGTTTTGGAACAGCCTACCTGCAGAAAGCTGTCCTGCTGGCTGACTAGAGAAGTGTGGCAAGTGGGGGTGGGTCGCAGGGTTTTGCCCCATTACTGAGGGCCTAGAGAGTGGGGTGCTCTTCTGGGTGGGTAATCATTTACCTCTTGGTCCACTCTGTGCAGTCTCAGCCTGTTCAGTAAAATTATGAATAGAGCATAGATTATATTTTGAATCAGAGCGCAGCTTCTTTTCTTCCAGTATGTATAGCGGCTACCAAGTAACCAGGCAAACTACATAAACAGTCAGGAGGAAGCTGATGGCTCTTGATCAAATAGCACATATACCAGACACTGAAGTTTCTATGGGCCTAGGTCTGGAGTTTTACTCTAGACAGTAGAAAGAAACATAGGGGACCCAGTCTTCTAAATTATCAGTTCTGGGGTATGCTGTTATCAGTTATTCTGGTCCTGCAGTAAAGCTAGAGCAGCAGCTTTAACAGATAGTAATTCTATGTCCTTGGAGCTCTTTGGTTATCTTAAGTGGATGCTCTTTGCCTGTGTACTGACTGAATGCCTACTGATAAAGATAATTACAAGAAGGCATACCTGTGTATACCTAGGGGAGAGGAAAGGAAGACTGGTAGTGGGAAACTATTTTTAAGAAACAGTTCTGAACTATGGGAAGTAATTCCCAAATATGTAACAGAATGGGACCAACAAAGTTCACCCACTTTATTCACAAAGCAACAATGCCAAAAAAGCTTTCTTTTTGCTTTAACCTTTATCAGATCCCTTGGTTATGATAAGTCACTTGTGAAAAAATGGCTAAACAATTACTGTATAATGTTACAGCTTGTATCAATAACACATCTTAAAATAATATTCCACAATATTTCACCCCTGTTGTCTAATAACAAAATGTTTTAACTTTAACATAGTAAATATTTGTACAAGACAATTATCAAGGAAGAATTACATTTACAACATTCAGTTCATTTGTATTTAGCAAATTCAGAGAAAACACTCTATTATTCATCTCATCTTAGTGATCCCAAAGATTAATAGCTAATTTATTTTCTACCATAGCTACAGAAAACTAAACTCTATTTATTCTTTAACTCCATTCAAGACCCCAGGAAAAATTAATATTACCTAACAACAGAGACATCTGCCTGGACAGTCACCCAAAGTTCCCCTGAAACATTGGGGAATCCATTTTGTCTGACAGGCCTAGAGCATCTGGCAGACTTTTCAATGGAGCAGAAAATTTGAAGTACTACCCTGCCTTGTATTTGCAAAGTTCATGAGTATTTTCCTTTGTGTCCTAAAGAATTTCTCACAGACTTTTTTGAAGCAAGAATCATGAAGGATTGTCCTACCTTGTTTTAGCAAAGTTCAGAATTCATTTTTCTGTGGGTCCTGCATGTTCAGTTTGCACAGCACACTGAAGCAGTCAAGGCAAAAGCAGTTTCTTGTCCAATTGGTTAGTCTTGCAACAATGAAAGCAAACTCCAGTGGAGTTTCTTTGATACCAATCATTATTTTATTAAGTAAATTGGTACTGCCAGGAGCAGATGTGTTTCATTATCATGAGAAACCTTATATTAACAAAACATTTTAAATGCCATATTCTATAGGTTTTTGAAGTGTTTGAAGACCATTTATCTATCTAATAGATATTCAATCTTGGAAAATATCTAATGTTACTACAAGTTTGATTATCATAGATTAACTACTAACCCAATTTCTTAATTATACATTGCATTTAAACGAGCTGCACAAGCTCAATTCTCCAATAAAGAGTAGAAACATATGTACAGTGAAACAAAAATGAACTTTAAATTTTTATTGGTATACCAAAATTTATGCCTATGCAAAATATTTGAGTGTAAAGTTGTTTTTTTAAACCTATGTTCCTATATACCCCTAAATGATAACACACACACACACACACACACACACACACACACCCCTATAACCCACCAAATATCCATAAGCCTCCCACACCACTCTTGGGAGTTTGGGCATCATGTTCTCCAAATTGCTCCACAGTCTGTGGGTGAAAGCATCTTTGGAGTCAGAGAGAAACAATTTGAGATTATGTCCAATTCCAGGGAAGACAAGATTCAGGCCTCACCTGATCAAACCTGATCCATCTCATTCCTGAAGGAATCTATAGCTTGTCATCTTTTGTGGGAACAAAAGCAAAAACTCTTCTCCAAAGCACTTTTTATTTTCATATGACAAATATATTTTTGACTTCCATTTTAAAGTTAAATGTATCTATGTTTGTCCAGTTTTGCAGTCCTGTTCATAATAATCCATAAACTTACTTTTGTTCTTTTAGGGAGCTCACCACCAAGTTCCCAAATATATAACATATGTGGAGGCTTATTCTTAATTATAAATGGTTGGCCTTAGCTTGGTGTAGTCTTGCCCATTTTGGCTTTGTACTTTTTTCTTTTCTTCTATATATCTTACTTTTACTCTTACTCCTTGGTGACTGATTGTGTGGCTGTGTGGCTGGCTGCTAGAGTCCTCCTCTCCTTGTTCTCTGGCTCCTTCTTTTCCTCCCAGATTTCTTCTTCTATATATTCTCTCTGCCTGCCAGCCCCTCTTATCCTTTCTCCTGCCTGACTGTATGCTATTATGCTCTCTTTGAATTGTTTGAATGCTGAGGAAGGAGCAACAGCTGCTAAAAGATATTTGTTTATAAATGCTGCTGAACTAATCCAACATAGATATTTTGAAAATACCTTGACTTCAGAATTTGGATCTAAGGATATGCTACTTTGGAAAAGAGATTCTTCTTTTGTTTTTACAGAGGATGAGACCCTGTGGATTGCTTCTATTCCAATATGGTATGGCAGACCACTCCCTCCTGAAAGGTTGCTGTGAACACAGTGTTAAATAAATGCAACACATTTTTTCATCTTCAAAGCAAATTTTCCATAGAATAACCAAATGTAACACATCTTAAAATGATATTATAGCATTTCCCCTCTTTGTCTAAACAGAAATGAAAGATTTTAACTTTAACCTATTAAAACTACATACAACCAAAACAATTATAAAGTAAGAATTATGTTTACAATATGCTGTCCATTTGTACTTAGCATATTCAGAGAAAATAATGCATTATCTATCCTATCATAATGAATCCAAAATTTGACACCTAACTTACTTTCTATCATAACTAAGAAAACCTGCAACTATAACTATCTAACCTTTAACTCCATCAAAGACACAGAAGGATGTAATATCATCTAACAACAGAGACATTTGGCTGCCTGGAAAATCACCCACAGATCCTTTGTGATGTTTGGGTATCCATCTTTGGCTTACAGGCCCAGAAGAGATGTAAAACTTTTCAGTGAAGCAAAAAATTTGAAGGTCTGTTGTACCTTATGTTGACAAAGTTCAGCAGCCTTTTTTCCTGTGTGCCCTCCATGTCCAGCCTCACCACACATTGCCAGCAGTCATAGGCAAGAGCAGTTTCTTTGCCCAGTGGCTAATCTTGCTGCAATGAAAGAAAATTCCAGTCCAGTTTCTTCAGTTGTGTATGATCTCTGAAGCAAATTGTTGCTGCCAGAAGCAGATGTGTCTCATTATCATGAAAACCTTAAGTTAACAAACCATTATTAATTATTACTAGGAGCCCTTCAGGATAAAATTCCTCATTGGGGATATGATATGAATCTCTGTAGCATCAGCCTATTTCCTGTTGCTTGTGTCTATTGTGCTATGGTTGAAACTAATCTGTCTAGATTCCTTCTTGTGGTGTCATGCCTTCACCACCATTATAGACTCTGTCCCTACATCATATACAATTCAATAGAAGTAACTGCTATTCAGTGTTAAGGCAGTTTGGTAGTCTACTGTTTTAATTTTTGCTTATTTGTTTTCAAAGACAAGGATTGTCTGTGTAGCCCTAGCTGTCCTGAAAGTAGCTCTGTATACCAGCCTGGCCTCCCACTAAGAGTTCCCTGGACTGTGGCTCCCAAGTGCTGGAATTAAAGGTGTGCCAACATTCCTGACTTTTTGTTTTTATATTATTGGATGATGGTTTTGCCTCTGTCAAGCATATACTGTTGTCCTGAGCTTCACCCATATCTTAAATTTTAAAATTTGGCAAAGGTTATCATTCTGTGTCTCAGAATGCCATGTATTCATGACATTAGTCATAGCTGAGTTTTCTTAGCCTTTGGATTGCAGGTGCATAACCTTATTCCTGACTGTTATATTTGTTCTGAATTTTTATTGAATATTAGCATTTTACCTGTATGCATGGATGTGCACCATATGGGTAACTGGTTCTCACAGTAATCAAAAGATGGTCCCAGAAACTCTGAACTTGGAATGATGGAAAGTTGTGATCACCCATGCATGTACTTAAGCCCAACTATATGCAAGACCAACAAGAGTACTTTACTATTGAGCCATCTTACCTGCCTTGTATTGGTTATTTGTGATTAACATTAATTTTTCTGTTGTTTTAATCTATCCATTTGTAACTTCTTAAATACACAGTGCCTCTTAGTAAAATCATTTTGATGTTACAGTTTAAATAGGGGCATTTCAGGTATCTGGAAGATAAATAAAGAATTTAAGTGAATGCATCACACTTTGTTAGAACTTCTGCAAAAACCCTGAGTTTTTCCTCATCTTTTTTTTTTGTTAGACTGATTTTTTACATGGGAAACAGGGTCTTAATATGTACTACTTGCTGTCCTGGAAATGACTACATAGACTAGGTTGGCATTCAACTCAGAGGCAGTACATGCCTCTGCTTTGGAGTGCTGGGATTAAAGGCAAGAGTCATTGCACCCAGCTTGCCCATCTTATTTTTCTCTTATCTAGTTAGGAATTAATTGTTTATATACAATTTCTCTCATGTGTCCCCGTACTGTTGATCTGTTTGTCTTTCTTTTTCAGTAGGCTTTTCTCTTGCAAGGTGATATCCCTTTCAAAGGGAACAGAAATGACAAAGGTGAATCTCCTATTCAATTTCCTTCTAAAGTAACTTGGTGATTCAATTATCATGTCTATGTCATGGAATAAGAGTGGGGAACACCAGAGTTATATGGCTGTACTGTCAAAGAAGTATATATGTATAATACTGCCAGTAACATGTTTTCTGTTATACATGTGTATGGGATATTTTAGAATGCAGTGACCTATGATGATGTGCATATTGACTTTACTTTGGAAGAGTGGAATTTGCTAGATCCTTCCCAGAAGACTCTCTACAAAGATGTGATGTTGGAGACCTACAGGAACCTCACTACCATTGGTAAGACTGAATTTTTCTTCATGTGTTAAAATAAGTGGACAATTGTTTGTTGGTTGTTTATGTTCTTCTGTAATTTGATTAGAAAGAAGAAGAATGAAGTGAGTACAACAGGCATAGTTCTAAAGTTCACTAAAGATAGTTTTTTTTTTCAAATTTGCAATAATATAACATTTATTTTCTGGTATTATCTTTTAGGATACAACTGGGAAGACCAAAATATTGAAGAACATTGTCAACATTCTAGAAAACATGAAAGGTAATTTTCATGTGCAAGCTGATACAAATGTGCCTCTGAAGAAATTATAATCTGTCCTGGAATTTTTAAACAAAAGCAACAGTGTGAATGAACACAACTTAAAGTGCATTGGAGATTATTAATCCTTACAAAAGCATATAAGATTAGTGAATTGCATATGCAAGGCATCCTTTTCAGAAAGAAGTCAAGGAAATAATGCCTTAACATATGTTACCATTTTAATTATAGCTCCATGAGAACTATGATGTAGAATTGTCATTCCATTTATTTCATATTGCTCACATTGCAAAAGGTGTACACATTGAAGAGCTAATAAGTATATCTCCAAAACTTTGTAATACACAAATTGACCATAGGAAAACTAGTATAACTCATATACTTGAGACTGTGCTAAGTACTAAGTTTTTTGAGGTGGCAGAGTCAAGGGGCAAGGGGCAGTTGTTCTAGAGGAACCTTAATACCTATATCACAAGTCTGTGAGGACAGAAAGTCAAACTGTGTAGTCAATGGGAAACCTTGTGTTTTTATTCTTCCTTCATTAGCTGTATTATATTTCTGTGTGGTTACAAGGCATATGAGCATAGGCATGTGGAAAGATATAGCATATCTCTCAAAATAATTAGAAGATATGTAACAGTCCCCACATTGAGTATTCATGTTTAATTTGATTAAAGTATACAAGTAATTTCTTTTTTATTTCTATTGTTAATACATTAACAAACTCACATGGCCTAAAAGCCCCATGAGTACTAGGACTGTATAAATACTTCTGTTTGCCCTAGTGCATGTAGCAGATGTAGTATCCCAGTATAGGAAATTTTATGAATGCAATCAGGGTGGTAAAGGTTTGATTTTTTTCCAGTTCTATTCAAATTTCTGAAAAATCTCATATAGAAAAAAGGTTCTGTAAATGAGAACCATGTAATAAAGGATGTTACCATCACAAGTGTCTCCAAAGATGCAAAACAAATCATAGTAAAGGGTAACAACACGAGTGTAAACACAATGATAAAACTTTAAGATATAATTATTCTTTACAATTGGACCAAATTGTAAAATTAATTCATAAAGAGAAAAAAAGATTCAACAGTGAATTGAATATGATAATGCTTTATATGTGCCATTATATCTTTGCAGACATGAAAGAAGTCAAACTGGAGAGAAAACTTTTGACTATACTCAATGTACTACAACCTTTGCATATAACAGTCATCTTCAAAAGCATGAAAGAACACATACTAGAGAGAAACTCTATCAATGTAATGAGTTTGTTAAAGCCTTTGGACATCACAGTCATCTTCAAATGCATAGAAAAACACATACTGGAGAGAAACCTTATGAGTGTAATCAGTGTGGCAAAGCCTTTGTGTATCACAGTCATCTTCAGATGCATAAAAGAACCCATATTGGAGAGAAACCCTATGAATGTAATCAATGTGGTAAAGCCTTTGCATCTCACAGTCACCTGCAGATGCATAAAAGAACCCATACTGGAGAGAAACCCTATGAATGTAATCAATGTGGTAAAGCCTTTGCCCAAAAGGGCAATCTTCAAATGCATAAAAGGACACATACTGGAGAGAAACCCTATGAATGTATTCAGTGTGGTAAAGCTTTTGCATCTAAAGGTCATCTTCAAAGGCATAGAAGAACACATACTGGAGAGAAGCCCTATGAATGTAATCAATGTGGTAAAGCCTTTGCCCAAAAGGGCAATCTTCAAATGCATAAAAGAACCCATACTGGAGAGAAACCTTATGAATGTAATCAATGTGGTAAAGCCTTTGCATCTCACAATTATTTTCAGATGCATAAAAGAACCCATAGTGGAGAGAAACTCTATGAATGTAATCAATGTGGTAAAGCCTTTCCATCTCCCAGTTATCTTCAAATACATAAAAGGACACATACTGGAGAGAAACCCTATGAATGTAATCAATGTGGTAAAGCATTTGCATCTAAAGTTCATCTTCAAAGGCATAAAAAAACACATACTGGAGAGAAGCCCTATGAATGTAGTCATTGTGGTAAAGCCTTTTCATGGATGTGTAGTCTTCGAAAACATGAGAAAAAATCATATTGCAGAGAACCTCTATAAATGTAGTCAGTGAGGTAAAATTTTGCCCTTTTTACAGGAGTAAAACTTATTGTGTGCAATCAATCTTTAAAGTCTTTGCATATCACGGTAATCTTTGACTACCTGAAAAAATATTGAGGGCTTCTTATTGCAATCATTTGGTAAGATCTTTATTTAGCCAGTTATAATCAGTTGCACAAGAGTATTTATTAAGTAGAAAAAAATTTGTGTCAAAATCTGTTCAAGCATTTTTATATCTGATTTTATATTGTTTGTACCAGCAAACTCATGGAAAAAAATAATTTATGAATTTATGAAGCCATATATATGTATAGGGTAGAAGGGCTAGCTAAAGAAAAGCACCCTGGCCCTAAAACCAGCACTAGTTAAAGACACATACTTTGGTGCTGAAACCAGTCAATGAAACACACCTTGCCCCTGAGTTCAGAGCCAATGAAAGAAACTCCCTGACCCTGAAAACAGACCCCAAATGTTAAAAGGGGACAATGAAAAAACACACTTTTTCCCTGGACCTGGAGCCAAAGAAACACACTCTACCCCTATCCAACAGAGCACAGAACCAGTTGATGTGGGATTCCCTTCTGTATATGTGTTGCTTTTATTGGTTAATGTTTTCCCTTCCCCCATCCTGACCATCATATTCCCTCTCAAGTTATCCTCCCCTTCCCTTCCTCCCTCCTCCCTTTCTAACCTCCCTTCTCGCTCCACCCCCTTGCTCCCATTTTTATAAGGAGCTCTTTCTATTTACCCTTCCCATGGTGAAACTATATATGTTGCTTTTAGGGTTCTCCTTGTTACTTAGTTTATCTGGGGTTAAGGACTATAGGCTTTCTATCCTTTCCTTTACAGCTAGTATCCACTTACGAGTGAGTACATTCCATGCTCATCTTGAAATTTGCATGCAAATGGATCAAATTAGAGAAAAACATTTGGAGTGAGGTAGCCCAGAATTCTAAGAGACATTTATATCTCTCCCTTTGGTGAAAAAATAGTGAAATAGCAGACACATGAAATTCTAATTTCCCTAGGAATTTTATTGTGGAAAAAGACCCGATTCCTCCAGATGAGAATGTCTCTCCTGAAGAAACATTCACTGTTTATTTGACTACCTTGTAGTAGAGACAGGATCTAAGGTTGGGGGACATTTTAGAGACGTTAAAACTTTCATTACATGGCTTAGTTTTATTGCTTAGTTATGTATATCTCTCGTCATTTATCTCAACCTGTTAGGACCCCAAGAATGGGTTAACTGCCTTATGTCTTCATCAGTGTTCCAAATTAGTCACAATGAAAAAAAAGTCATGTCTTTAATTTTTTATAATAATTTGTTCATTTTTGTTTTTTATTGCCCTCTTTTTATTTTGAAGAATAATCTCACTGTGGATCTCTGGGTATCCTGGAGCTCACTATATAGACTAAGTTCTTGTAGAACATCAGATTTGCCCACCTTGTCTCCAGTATACCTGACTTATAGACGCGCATATAGCAGACAACCAGCCGAAAAAGACTCCCATCAACTGCAGACCTTCTGCCTCAGAATCCACTGTTTTCCAAATACGAGCCATATTGCTTTTCTTTGTCTTGAGTCTATTGTAATTTATCAAGTGACTTGGGCAAGGTACTGTCTGTTGAATTAGGAGCTGCAGGCTGTGTCCCCGGCACCCGGCCGCCCGCATGGCTAGCTTATGCCTGAAATAATTACACGGAAACTGTATTCTTTCAAACACTGCCTGGCCCGGCTAGTTCCAGCTTCTTATTGGCTAGCTCTTACATATTGTTCTAACCCATTTCTAATATTCTGTGTAGCCCACGAGCTGGTTTACCAGGGAGGATCTTAACCTGCGTCTGTCTGGAGTGGGAGAATCATGGCGACTCCTCGACTCAGCTTCTTTCTCCCAGAATTCTCTTCTGTATACTTCGCCTACCTAATTTTCTATCCAATAAAATGGGCCAAGGCAGTTTTTTTATTATAATTAACCAATGTCCTTCCTCCATCAACTGTCCTTATTTTATATATAGTAAAGCTTCGGCTTATGCAGATAAGTATTTTTTTTAATATACTTGTATAGCTTCATCTTATTCATCTCATCCTTCTAATGACTCACTAAATGAAGTTGAAGCCATCTAAGCCAGCTATTGTGGCATAGGCCTGTAACCATGATACTTAGTGGAGGCAAGAATTCAAAGTCATCCTAGATGAAAGTGGTCATTGGGGTATGGTGGGAGGCCCATGGAACCCTGGGAGACTGTGATTATCTCAGGACAATGTCTTCAGAGCCAATACCCACCGGCATAAAATAAAGTTTAACACTCAGTTCTTTACAGTAATGCCACACAGTCTTGAGACAGCAGTCAAGGCTGTCTATCACAGAAGTCTCTGCAGCCTTCCTTTAAGCCAACTTGCATGGAGGCAAATGAAGCCTCATTCTGAGGTTAGGATAGCTCAGGATATCTGTTCATTTAAGATCATTATTCACAGTGGAGATATGGGACTTTCATATGTTTTTTTTTTTTAATTTGTGTTCTCTGTCTTTTGATTGTGTGAGCATTGTGGCACTGATACATCTTTTAAATATATCATTTAGATGTTAGACCATGATCTATTTTTTAAATCATGCATTATGGTATATTTATATTTAGCTAATAATGCTTCATCTAAAAGATAGTTTTGCTCTGTAAATCTCCATTGGCCTATGTGGTTAGACTCGCATTCTCCTGTCCCTGTTTAAATTGTTCAGTGTATAACCTCAGGATGACAGCATATGTGAAATGCCAACTCTGTGCCAATCTGACTCCTCTTCTAGCATTGACCACCATTGATTGTGTGCTGTTATTAAAGAGATTTTTCTTTATTCAACTTTTAAATGTGTGGAATGAGTCATCCTTGGAAAGTCATATTAATTCTAGAACAGCAGCACCTCCAGACTTGTAAAAAAATTTCTGAGACAAATTTTCTTATGTTGAATCTGGTAGCATTGATCCCACGCCATTGCTCCCCAGGCCAATGACCTTGTTGCCCTTGTGATTATACCAACTACATTTATATATTAAAGAACTCAACCACCAATGAGTCTTAAAATTCCAAATTTGAGTCATGTAGTCAACCGTCCATTTCAGTAACAGAAAAAGGATTTGTTTGTGAAGCATGGCTTCTGCCTTCAGACCAAAATAAAAGGAATAGATTATTGTATACACTGTAAGGAGAAACTAGGTAGGCAAAGAGCTGCTGAAGTCACCATTATGAAATAGGACCTGATTGTGGCAAGATCAGTGATTTTTGTCATTTCCCAGCATTAATTTATTCATCTTAGGTAAATGATGGCAGGACTGATTTTGGGTGTACTATTTGGGAAGATTAGTTTGCAACAATGGATATTGAGTTTCCAACAATGAAATTCCCATATGCAGATATGGGCAATCCTTCTTGTCATGGTCATATCTATTAACTGTAGCTGTATATGTCAGGTCACAGGTCTCACGAGCTAACATTGAACATAATTGCATGGTGCAATAATACCTTATCAGGATATGGTTTTCTCTTTTTCAAAGTCAGTATGGCCTTGTGTTTTCTCAATTATATTTATCTTTTTAAAAAGACAGTTATTTGTTTCAGTTTTTAAGTTTTATTTTCCTTAAATATACCATGCTTTAATCTCTTATTTGTTTCTATTTTCCATTGTTTGCAGGTCATTAAGAATTTCATTTTATCTTTCTCAGTTGTTGCTAATTATTTGTTTAGAGCAATGTCTCTTGTAGTTTATGCTAGCCTCAAACTATGATTTGACAATTGCTTTAAACACCTTATCCTGCTTCTGCTGCCCAGTACTGGAAAGAAAGTCTTGCAACTACTTCAAGACTGGGTCTTAACTGGCCAGTGAGGAGAAAAATTAGACCAGTAAATGCATGTCCTCCAGTATCTCTGGATTTTATTGCAAACTTACAAGTGAAGAGGAACCTGTGTAAGAACTGAGTTCACTGACTGCTGTAAGCTGCAGCATTATGCAGCAATTGCTCAGCTATCTTTGCATGAGTGACTTATCATAATTAAGGGCTTTGATAAAGGTTAAACCAAAAGGCAAGGGTTTTGGTTCCTTTGTGAATAAAGTTTTTGTCTTTTGCTGTAGATTTTTCATTGTAGCTAACTTTCCTTTTGTTACATATTTGGAAATTAATTCCCACAGTTCAGAACTGTCTCCTGTGCTTTTGGGGTTCACTGATCACATTCCCTATCTATATGCGAAAACAGCTTCCCATTATCAGGCCTTCATTCCTCTTTCCTAGGGAAATGCAAAAATATATCCTCCTCCATTCCAAGCAAGCATTGGTCTGTCTTTATGGTCCAGGCAAAAGTATCCCATTTAAAATATTCACAGATATCCAAGGACATAGAATTACTACCTGACCCAAACTGTTTCTAAAGTATTACTTTTCTCAAAGGCTCTCATGTTTTTGACCACATGAAGGACTCCATATTTTCTAAAAGGCTTAAACATAGCAGGCACCTCTCCTCTTCTTTGTGTTTGCCATTTTAGAGAATTATTGCAGAATGATGACAACATTTTTTTTTCCTATTTTGATTTTTCAGTGTTCTGGATCTATGACTCTTCATTTAGATGCACAGTTTGCAATGATGTTTCCCCTATTCTGTGGGTTGTCTCTTCACTTAATTAACCAGTCATTCCCTTTATTGCACAGTGCCTTTGAATTGGCTGAGCATTGCTACTATTTCCTGAGGAACATAATCCTCTTCAGAGGTCCTTACCTATGCCAGTATCTTGAGTTTTCCCCGTGTTTCCCTCTAACAGTTTCAACTTGGAAGTTCTTACCTGAAGGCCTTTACTGAATTAAGGATGGCTTTTGTACTGGGTAAGAGTCGAAGGTCTGGTTTCACTCTTGTATACGTAAGAGCTCCAGTGCTGGTTGTGTCAGAAAGCCTAGGCTGAAAGAGAATGGATACAGGATCAAGCATCTGCCTTCATAGGAAGCCATTCATCATTTGTTGTCTGCAAAGAATTAGAGAAGGCAGGCTGTGGTTGCAAGGGCCTATACTAAGGCCATTACGTCCACATAAGATGTTTGCAGAGGCAAGAATGACCTGTCTAATTTGAAAGAACAGAAGAACACAGGAAGTTACTTCCCCGTGCCATTTCTGGAGGAAGTACACCTGCAGCTTATAGGTAGCTCCTTCCTAAAGAATCACATTAAATTTTTAGATTTTCACTATTGAATATATTTTATACATTTAACTAGCTGAAAAACCAAAATAAACATTCTTAAGAGTTGATACAGTGTCCTGAAAAGGGTGTAGGGAAATAATCAGAAAATAGAAAGCCTAAGAAAAGGGGACTGGGCAGCTGAGGCAGAAGCCTGTTCCTCCCAGAGAAACCTGTTTGTATGGAACTGATTCACTTTGATGGTGGCCTCCAATCATTCACTGGATTGTGGGTGCGGCCATGTCACTTTCTGAAGGAACAGAAACCAGCAAATGAGCCATAATAAGTACTGGCAAGATTTACCTCCACCAGTGGTAGCGCGCCTGTGTATCTTCCCACAAGCAGCATGAGTGTAGGCTGAGAGACTCAGTAAACAAAATAACCGGAAGTAGCCTAGAGTGGTCACTTCCTCTTAGGTCTTTTCGGAGTCCCCTGCGAGGACTGCGCGTGTGCGTGGAGTGCGGCCGTTGGAAGTGTGGGCGTCCGCGAGCGCACTTCTGTTCCTGCGTGCGGTTGTCCCGGGTCTCCGAGGTGCAGCGAGCCTTAGGAGAGTGGCGGCTAGCTGGGAGGACGCTGGGAGGCCTCGCGCCGGTTTGTGCTACAGGTGGGGAACGGCCCGTTTCATTCTGTTCATTTGTCACTTCCCAGTGTGCTCTCCTGTGGGATTTCACCCCGTCGTTCATAAAAGTTGTGTGAAGACAGTCGGGGCAGAGGGCTCAGTGAGTGTGGGAGCAGGATCCCGGAGATTCTGGGTGAGTTCCCGAGGTGGCCTGGGATCGGCCCCGGAGCCTGGGACCGGTGGTGCTTGTGAAGGCGCAACTTCTGATCGTAACTGGAGCCCTGACTCCGAGCCAAACACGGGCCTGAGAGGGGAGAAAAAGTCCAAGCGGTAAGTAAAAATGGGAAAATGAGTTTATTTACGTGTAAACTGGGGACACAGTATCCGTCATCCATGTCAGCCTAAACAGTATAAGCTATAGATTCCGTCTACTGGAAAGAGAGTAAATATGGGTAAGTATGTTTAGTGGCTGGCACGTGTGAAAAAGTACTCTGTTAAGTTCCCTTCCCTGTATTGTATTTTCTATATGGAACTGGAGCTGAAAACAGAAAAAATGATTTTTAAAAACTAATCCTAATTTATTTCCTTTTGCTAGTTTCCATAACTACTGGAGCCCTCTGCGGATGCGTGGCTGGGTCAGTAGTTTGGCTTGTGCCTGGGACCTGTAGATGTAATAAGGATTAGTTAGGCAGAAAGTCACTCCAGAGTGGATTTAGGGCAGAAGCTTAAGTTTCTGCACCCAAACAGGCAAGAGCCAGCCTCAACTAGTATGTCTGTTGTCGAGATTGGTGATGATGAAGAGCAGAGGGAGCCTAGAAATGGCTCAGCAGGGCTGGGTTCTCAGCACCCACACTCAGCAGTGACTTTGAACTGGCAGCAGCTACAGTTCCAAGGGATCCATTGCTCCCTTCTGGCGTCCTGGGTACTGCATGCTTGTGCTTGTGATGAACAGACACACAGACAGGCAAAAAACCATCCATATACAAATTGAGAAAAAAATGGAATTGTAAGAATAAATCTTTAAATTTTTTTCTCTATTCCCCAGTGAGCTGCTTTCTCCAACTGAGCTCCACCTGATTTTTTTTTTAGAGGAAAAAAAGAAAAACAAAGGCTGAGAGTTCATACATTGGTTACATTAGCCAGATGAAGCCTTAAATTGCCCTAGTGAGCCAATGTCTGTCTCTGGTATACTGACTTTAGGCTTGGGTTTAGAAATTAAGAGTTATGCCCTGCAAATTGTGGTGATACATGACTGACTTGTAATCTTTTTTTTTTAATTATTACCTTATAAATAATACCAATCAAAATTTCCACTTACTCCCCTCCTTCCACTTCTCTCCAGCTCCCCTCACACCCTCCATCCTCCCCCTCTAGTCCTGAGAGGGGCGAGGTACCCTGCCCTGTGGGAAGTCCAAGGTTTAGGAAGTCCCCCCACATCCAGGTTTAGGAAGGTGTGCATCCAAATAGAGATCCCATCGTCAGACAGAGATAGAGACAGAGAGCCACATCAAAGCACTGGACTGAGCTCCCAAGGTCCAGTTGAAGAGCGGAAGGAGGTATAATATGAGCAAGGAAGTCAGGACTGTCCTGTAATCTTAGCATTCTGGAGGCAGGGGTTGGAGGATCACTTACGTGGAGGCCTGGCTGGGGATGAGATAGGTTAGTAATTAGAGTAGAGTAGAAGTCAGAACCAAAGTGATGAAGACATACACAATGCTTCTCAGTAAAAGCAGGTGTGTGTATGTGTGTGTTTTGTTATTTTTCGAGTGTTTCATTTTTAAGGTTTATTTTTATAAGAGTGTTTGACTAGTCCCAGGTAAGGTAAGTGAGTTTGTATACTGTGTGCTTGTGCTGTACTGTGTTCTCTGTGTGTGTGACTGTGATGTGTGGCTGCATAATTAATCGGAAAAAAAAGAGTGTTTGACTGCTTGTATATTGGTACACTAACTGTGTTCATAGTGCTCAGAGAAGCCCTGAAGAGGGAATCTGATACCCTAGGATTAGAGTTACATGAGGCTGTGAGCCTCATGTGAGTGCTGAACCTTGGACCTCTGCTAAAGCAGCAAGTGTTTTCCCCCTCCTTCTCTCTCCCTTCCTTTTTCTTTCCTGTCGCTCCTTTGAAAGGATGTCCCTATGTAATCCTGACTAACCTGCAACTGTTTGCAAAGCAGTCTGGCCTGAAATGTGTCTGTGATCCCACTCTGGAGTGCTGGGATTATAGGCCTACAACTGAAGTTTCCAGAAACTAAAACCTGCACCTATGTTAAAGATTCTTTGAGGCTGATGAACTGGAAAGTACTATTGATTGTAGAGAGTTTGTGTGTTTCAGGTATGGAGTCTAATCATCTTTAGCTGTATATGTTCCTTCAATAGGTATTCAGTATCCGTCCCTGGGTTTCACCTGAACAGTCCAATGGTTTCCAATAAGTCACTGGAGAGCATCTGAGGCCCATAGTAGAGATTTCCCTACTTTATTATAATGTTCCTATCTCACTGTCCCACCAATGTCAGTATTATGGTGGTATTGTTTTGGTGTATGTGTATGTGTACCTATTTGTTTGACTGCACCCACATGGAAATCAGATGACCATTTCTAGTCTCTTCCTAAAGCCGTCTCTTATTTTCTGAGAGTGGGTTTCTATATATTTGTGTGTGTGTTTTGTATGATCATATGTGTTTGGAAGCATGTGCATGTATAGGTTATAGGTAGTTCTCTTCTGCCATATGTGTCCCAGGCATCAAACTTGTGTTGTTAGGCATGTTGGTAAAACACCGTCTAAACCATTCTGCTGCTTTCACCAACATGCTATAAAAGTACTCTGATTTATGACTTTGTTTTATGCCCTTACTAGAAAGATTTCATCAAACTATTTTGCATTGGCATATGGTCTTTGGATAGCCTGAATCTGTGCTCCCAGGACATGGTAACACATCTTGGCTCTAGAATAAACTTCATATTGCCGTTGAAGTGAGAATTATGTTGTTACTATAACCAGTCACCAAGTCTGAATGGCAAAAGTAGTTTCTAGAAGCTTGTTTCAATGATGCTTCCAAGCCAGGCTTGGTGGCACACATCTGTAGTCCCTGCATTGGGAAGAGGAAGGGTGACCAGGATATCAGAGGCAACATCTGTTACATAATGAGTTCTAGGCCAGTGACCCAATGACTCTGTCTTTGAAAAAAAAAAAAAAAAAAAAAAAAAAAAA